ACTCATCTAACAAGAACAGCCCCCCTCTGTGGGCTCTGCAACCCAGGATGTGGCCCTGCCTCTAGTTAGCTGTGTTGCCTAGCCTTGGGCCATCACACAGCACATCCGAGAAGGTCCTCAGCATGATTAGTCACCATTTTCCTCTAACTACCACTCCTCACCAGAGTGTACTGGCCAGGGAGCCCCTGCGCACACTGACTGATATGGACAGAGTGCTCTGGGGAACCCCGGAGCCACCAGAAAAGGCAGTGTCTGCGGTGCACATCAGTTACCCCCATTGCCAGCAGCTGTCTTCCAAAGTTTACCTGTCAAAAGTGGTAGACAAGAAAGAACTCCACAGGTCTACCCGAACCTTTCAGAAGCAGAACTTCTGAAGAATTAGCCGTGTGCTGTAAGGGCAGTGCATAGGTGCTATCTTTACCCTCTGCCTTCCTCCTAGAGTTTCCATTCTCAGCCATAGGGAGCTGAGATACCTGCTCAAAAGGACTGCATATATGCCATACAGATTCATAAACATACCTGTACATATTTCTTTAATTAATTAATATTTTTGGTGGCCTGGAGTAAGAAAAAAAGCCATAACTCAATAGGCATTATATCCACTTAATCCACATTTATCAAATTAATGGGAATCCCAACGGACATTTGTCATGATATGTGCTTAAATCTGCTGATGGAAAAATGTATGACCACCGTACAACTTATTGGCCCTTAGGATAAGAGTGTTTTTAATCTAAAAAATGGGGAAATAGACCAATACTATGTGTTTTGCAAATAAATTCTTCACACACAAGGCCAGCCTCAGATGGGTTAGCTGTATAATACATATAAGATGATGGGCTAAATATGAGCATGATGCAATCTGAATTGGGTTACTCAGATGCTCTTTGCTGTTGCTCAAATAAGCAGAAAGTGATAAAAGAGAGCATGAAATTTGTAATAAGAAAAACCATCAACAGAATAGCCGCCACTTACAGAAAATAATTTAATCTTGATGAGCTTTAGTTTCTAATTAGTACAAGGAGAGGAAGATAGTTTCTGCTCGACTTATCGCTACATAATCACTGTGCAGATCCAGCCCAATGACGCACAGAAATATGCTCATAGGAAATGCACATCATTAGGAGGACTTTGGTTTATGTGTAACTGCAGTGCCGGAGGAGCCTTGGAATTAAAATAAATACTTAATTTCCAAGTTATAAATAATGTTCTTTCTACATCCTGTGGGCTCCTATTGAAACAATCCAGTGATTTGTATAAATTTGTTTTGTCTACAACAGAATCTCTTGATAAACTCCACATTTCAATTTATAATCAAGGTGGAAAATGCTTCCCTGGGTGCATACATAACGGTGTCCTATTAGTATAAATAACCTGAGATTTTACACCTGCTCCCGAGGCTGGCGTCAGTCAGCGGAAACTCTGACCTTGGGCCTGTGTCACGGCCCTGATGTCTCCACGCTCAGTGGCCATCTGCAGTATGGAGAGGGTGCGCCTGCATCATGCCTGGAACCCTCGGCAAATGTCCCCGTCTATGTGGCTGTTCCTTTAGCTCTAGGTCACTGGGCCTGTGTGTGTTAGGAATGAGGCACAGCCCACCCCAGAGGGGCCTGCTGCTAGCTCTGGGCAGGAAGAGCTCTGAGGTCCCCAAGGAACAGGAAGGACCACCTGGCCATACTGCTCAGACCCAAGAAGGTATCTCTCCTGCCCACTGTCTGGCACCCTGTGCTCTTGCTGTGCCCCCACATGGAAGGTGTCCCTCCCAGGGCACAGGTTTGCAGTTGTTGACAGTGACAGTGGCATGAGCTCTAGCAATAAGGTGAACTATGATGCACTTAGCGAGGAGAGCAGGAGAATAGGAGGCTCAGGTTGATGCTGTTCAAAGCCTTGTTTTAATAAAACATCACTAGGAGTTTGTTCATGAAAAATGACTGCTAGATGAACAAAGCTCTCCAGTTCTTTTGATCTAGAATCTTTCTGCAGATTCCTGACCCTTGTGGGCTATGAATAATCCACCGGGAATTTCAACATGCCATGTTGGTAAGCGGTGTCTCGGAGCACCTGCTTGTGGTGCAGTTCAGGGGAGACTTCTCCCTGTGCCATAAAGGCTGAACCCGCGCCACATGTCTCCAGGAAGCAGTCAGCTGGCCTGGACATCAAACAAATCTCTGGTTCCCCCTGAAGAGAACCCACAACAGTCAGAGTCACAGTGGAGTGTTCCCCATGCGAGAAACACACTACTGTTGACTTGATGGCCCCTTGGCTTGGTGTTCGCAGGACAGGCTGTCAGAAAGGGATAAAGCAGGCACTTCCTGCCAGTGTGTGAGTATCCAGCGAGTGGACGCATCTGTCTTCTGTTGGAAGCTGTTTGTCTAATCCACAGCAGCTCCCTGGGGCTGCAATGAGCTCGAGTTATTCACAGATTCATTTACAGTCCAGGTGATGGGTGACTGTGGGCACTGCCTAACTGGGGAGCAGATGCCACTGTGAATTAGAACCCAGTATCAGAATCTTATAGCAGATCCTGACTGTGGCTTGCTCCTTTTCTGGGAGTTTGCTCTCTGGGACCTCCTTGCTCACCTGCTGAAGACCTGGATCACCATGCTAGATTTGCTCTGGAAATGAGCAATCTTGGGGCTCGCATACTAAACATGCAATCATTTGACGACACTGTCGTGCAACCATTTTGTGATGGCCTTGCTTGCATTAGTTCAGCAAAAATGTCTTGGGTTTTGAGATGCTACCCAGCTTTTAAAAACAATCATGTTGCAAGGATTCAAGTCACAGCAACCAACCCTAGACAGTGACATTCTAATGCCATTTTGGTAAGGCTTCTGACAAGTTTTTCCAAATGTGTCACTTTGCATGTTGGAAAGTAGATCACTCGAACTATCATCTTAAGTAAACCAAGATTGGAAAGTTTAACTCCAGGGAGTGAAGAGCAGAAATGAAATTTGGTTGAGACCCTTGGTTAAATGACATATTTCAAACTTCCTACCTTAATCTGCCACACACAAAAACATTCATAATTTGAAATGTTAATGTCTACTGCCTTCCAAACAGCATGAGCATTTTATTTGGTGGGTTTTTTTTTTTGGTACTGGGGATCAAACTCAGGCCCTATCCACTTGAGAGGCAGGCGGCAGAACCACTGAGCCAAATCCCTGGCCCAGCATGGGCATTTTAAAAAGGAATATTTTTACACCTTCTTAATAATACACCATGGCCAAAATACAAATCATGGATGGATCTCAACTAAGGACATTACCTCAAACTGCATGCATTTAATATGGGGTCTGCAATAATTTTCCTGGTTGGTTTGCTCTCCAACTCTACGTATTTCATTATGTAGAAGCTAAGGCCTTTGATTCTGAGCATCTCATCCATGGCAGTGGTGCATTTGGTCCCCGGCAAAGCAAGCGGAGTCAGTGGCAACTCTCTCGGTCCCTAAATTCTGGGCCAACGCCTTATTCTTTGCTAAATTTTCTCCGTGTGACGTCCTATAGTATCAAGTTGGGGAAAAGGTTGGAAGGCCGACACAGAAGGTCGACTCTGACATGGTTTCTCTTCTGTGAGAAGCCCAAACTATAAATAACATAAGGGGCAAAGTAAAGAGGAGATAGTAAGGCACATTTAAGTTGTGTTTCTGGGGATGGGGAACAGGTTTCAGGAGAGGAGGAAGAGGAGCATCAGGAGGGAAAAGAAATACAAACAATCAAGATGTGATAGATAGATAATAACTCCCCCAAACAAATGTGAATATTGTGCATCACAAACAGGTACTATTAAAAATTGGGGGAAGGTAGATTTTAATTTATGCAATTTATATATAAGTATGTCTATTTACATATGAATATGTGCCTATAGGTGTAAATGTAAGTGGAAACTTGTTTTTGTAAGAATTTTAAGGTACTGGAATAGTCTAGGAAGATGGCATACAATTCTGGCTTCTTTATAAGATGTTTTTGACTTCTGAGTCGGAGATAACCCTGTCTGCCTACACACAGGACCACAGCCACGTGATCTAAAGACTCTCTCCCCACCAGCTCAAATGATGGTCTTTGTGTGTAGAAGTTTGTTCTCCTGGACCCGAGGTTCCTGAAGAGGTCTGAGCCCAAGGAAGAAGAGTAGGAGCACACACTGCCACACTCATTGTTCTGGCGTATCTCTAGGGGGCAAGCCATGAGCCACCCATTTCTAGGAAGAAATGACCTTCAGAAAAGGGCATTTCGAAGTCATGTTTTTGAGTTTTATGCTAACAGAAAGCTGGACAGAAGGCGAGAGTCATCTTAGGCGCACCGTGACACGTCCCCAGCCCCTCACAGCACCCTCCTTGCTTTCAGGTACCAGTGTTGGGTGCCCCAGACAGGAAGCACATGACCAGCCCATTAACCATTTCCTCTCCCTTGCATCTCTTTGCATCCTTCTCACATGACATTAACACCTACTCTAGGTCTCCCAGTTCCTCATTACTCGGGAGATGCCGATAACATTCCTGAGGATGGTTTATGAAAGAAACATTTTCAAGTCAAGCTGTGGCAGCTGACATAGCCCACCTACGAGTCACTGCCTGAGGACCCCCTGCCCAGGAGGCGTGTGGACTAAGGCCAGCCCATAGCACGCCTCAGGTCAGCAATAGTGTTGCTGGCAGAGAACTTTCTAGAGAATGGCAAGTTAAAGACCAAGGATGCTAAATTACTTGTCTTGCTCAGTTTTGCTTAGCTAATCGAATACGTACACCATAAATATCTCAGCAAATTGCTGTGACCACCAAACCGAATAACAATTTGAGCAAAACAAAATTTAAAGCCTAGAAGATAATTTAAAGAAGTCCTCTAAGATAGAGGGAAATTCTCCTAAGCATATTATCCTTTCAGCAGCCATCAAGCCGATTTGTTCCTGTAGCAATGTCAAGGTTTCAGGGATTGTTAACACCACAGAATTCCCATCAAAAACCAGGCCCAAGTCACAGCGTGACTTGCTAGTATTTGAAAGATTACCGTTTTCCTCCTCCTCCTCTTCTTCCTCATCTTCCTCCTCCTCCTCCTCTTCCTCCTCCACATCGTCTCCATCTTCATCGTCGTCGTCATCCTCCTCCTCCTCGATCTCCTCCTCTTCCTCCCGGTCCACCTCCTCCTCCTCCTCGTCGTCCTCGTCTCCTTGTTCCTCATTGTCCTCGGAGAAGTCCTCCTCCTCATCCTCCTCCTTTTCGTCCATGTCTTCCGTCCCATCGCTCTCATAACATTCGTCCACCGAGGAGCTGTCTGCTTTCACCGCAAACGGTTTTCGCTTGGGAGCAGGTTCTTGGGGCTGCTTGTCTTGTGTTTTTCTTTTTTTAGCCAAGGGACAACCATATACACTGATAAAAAAACAGAGAAAGAGAAGGAGAGAGAGGGAGAGAGAGAGAGAGTGAGAGAAAGAGACGCTTGTGTTATTGTCTTTAAAGATCAGAGTAATAGGAGACCTTGATGAAAGGTATTTAAGGTTGAACATGAATAGCATCCATGCGGATGCCAGAGGGTGACGGGCAGACACATGCATCACACATGTGCCAGATTCTGTTAATGAAACTGCACTCTGAAGAAATATGATTTGCCTTGTCTGCTGCCATTAATATGTACTCTGGGTCTCCTAGTTCCTCATTACTCTGGTTCCAAATGACATGGAGATGCCGATAACATTCCTGAGGATGGTTTATGAAACATTTGCATGAGATGCGTAGCATGCAGTCGACAAGACAAATTCAATTTATTCAACATTTTACCAGATATACAGCATGTGTGATGTACATTTAAAACAATACTGATTTTAAGCATGCTCTCATAACCTGTAGGATTTACGTAAAATATAAAAGTGTATTATGTTGTGAAACTTTGGATTTGTATATTCTGTAGGTAAAATATACCTATAGACACAGTAACCTACTGAAAGAACAGAAGCCACGTATGTGCTGGCTGGTGTTGCTCACGAGAAGAAGTTGTGCAGGACCCTGTCAGTCCTGGGTAGTATCAGCCCATTCCCAGACCTATGTGGCTGAAATAATTGGTCCAAACTTGGGTAAGACCCTCACAGCATCAGCTCACAAAATCTCCTTGAAAAAGGGCAATTTTTCAAAGCTATGCTGACATGTTAGTCTTCTCTTTTTCTTTCCAGAAATCCTACATATGCTGCAATGAATAAGGGAGAAAAGACAGAGAGGCGAAAGTACTGTGGGCAAATACGCTATGCATCTAAAGTGCGGTGTGCGATCTCCCTGCTGACCAGGTCCATGTGGATCCCTGGAGCCCTGGACTGGCTCAGCTCTGGACTGGGAATGGAGACCAGATCACTGGGTCTTGAGGGTTCTGTGGGGCAGGAGCCAGTGCTAAGCAGGAGACGCTGAAGGAAAGGTACGACCCCTCAGCCCAGGGTCTGTGGTCCAGTTGGGACTTGGATGTGTCAACAACACTATCTCAGATCCACTGACCACTGCTCACCATAGCACCAAGGGCCTTATGAATGTACGGAGAGGATCACAGAGTCTCTGACACAGTACAGATCATGTATGAGGCTCTGAGTGTCTCTGCAGGAAATACAGCGCCATTCCTAAGCCCTTAGAGATGCAATCAAGTTCGAATGTTAGAAAAGTTGTGGCCAATGGCCCGCTGCGTGGGAAGGAGGGCACTCTGGGGGTGTGAAGCCAGGGTGGACAGAGATCAGCAGCCACTGCAGGTGGAGGGTAAAACGGAAGGAAGGAGGGCAGCCAGATCACCAGTGGGCAGCTGTGTGGGAGCCCTGGGCAGAGGTAGCTTGGACTACACACTCAGACACAGGTGGGTAACAGGTGCCACCTCTACAGGCAACAGGAGGAACAAGCCTGGACAGGGTGGGCAACTGCGGGGAACAGGGACCCGGGAACAGGACACAGGGCACACCGTGTTTGTATCATGAGGAGTGTGACTTGCTCATGGTAGGTCTTATTGATTGAGTGACTTTAGAAAAATGACCAGCTATGTACCTCAGAGTCATCAGCTGAGAATGAGAAAATACTCACGTCACCCAGTTGCCTTACACATGAAATGAAAAAGAAAAAGAAAAAGAAAAAACCCACGTAGGAGGTTGGTACAGTGCCTGCCATGTGCTAGGTATTTAGTTCGTGGTAGTGACTGCTGTTTAACACTGATGATAAGAAATTGCCTCTGCGCTCATGATTACTTGGGTGACCAGCTATCTAGCAAATATGTTACTGCTCAGGGTTCTGGAAAATAACTCTAATATTATTACTTCTAAGACAAGTAGGCGGCTGGCACTACTGCAAGGGGAGAACACACTGCTGACCCGTGGCCACTGTTGCTCAGCCAGACCAGGTGAGTGTGTGGGAAGCCAGGCAGGAATGGAGGGCTGGATAACAGTGTCACCACGGGCCCCAGTGTGGCACTCTCACTGTCCAGCAGGCTTGAGTTCCTAGGGGGTGAGACACAGCCACCCAGGCAGACTCGGGGTAGCGATGTGGAGGGACCGTATACCCAGCACTGAGAGCCAGGCTCCCTTCATCAGCACCAAGGGGAGCCCTAGGTTATCTGGCCAGGCCTCAGTTTACCTGGATCTGAAAGTTACCAGTACCTTTACTGCTCTGAAGTTTTCAGTCATTTAGACTTCCCAAATGGTACCTTTCTTGACATGGGAACTTCCTAGCAAAATGTTGGTTTTGTTCTCTTCCCATCTATTTCTGTTTTCATGTGGGCCAGTTTTACTTCCTTATCTTACATTTCACAAACGGTTTGGATTAAACAGCAGCCACCATCCCCAGCCTGCTCAGATGTCCCGTGTTTCCGGCCAACTTACAGGGGTGCTCACGGATTTCTCTACCTCTTTTAAGGTAGTGTGAATAAAATTGCACCTCCAACCACGTATGGCTCTAGATGCCACTTCCCTCTGTCCCGTGTCTGTGTGGCTCCTTCTTGCTGATGGCACATTCCTGTGTCTACTTTCAATATGATCACAACATTCAAGCTCCAAGCACATTTCATTCTATTTACGAGGATGACGGGTCGGGACTCAGGACCAAGCTCAGAGTGACAGAGGTCCTTGGGCTCTGCAGTGAAAGCCTAGGGCATGTCACAGGGAAGCTCTGGAAAACAGCTCTGGAACATGTTGAATGCAGGCTTATTTGTGGTCTTCCAGGGCGGCATACATTGCTGTGAATGCGGGAGAGGGTGTGAGTGGCCTCCCATCGTGTCACTATGCTGCAGGCATTGATGTGTGTCCAGGGTCACCTTGGATCCCCAGGGGCCTACGGGAGAGAATTGCTATGTCCTAGGGATGCCATGTCTGTGATCCAGGTGGGTGGCACCCAAAGGGAGGAAGAGGGGACCTCATCACTTTGTCACCTGACCGCAGGCACACTCAGCTCCAGCTGGGCACCTGTGTTACCCGGGAAGCTGTCCCCAAGGTAGGACCTCAGCAATCAACTTGGCTTTTGTTCTTATCTTCCCTTGCAGAGAGATTTCAAGCTCAGTGGACTTGGAATTTGTGCCCAGGGCTGCTTCTCAAGCGACTCTTGAGGCCTCCCCAGGCTGCGTGTGTCCCATCCTGGCTAAGGGACCTGGTTAGCATCAGGTGCTCGGTGAATGTCACAGAAGGAGTGAACCATAGTTCTCCTGCTTGTGGGAGAATGAAGTGCACTCACACGAGACTGGGGTCACCAAACAGCCTCTGGCAGGTGCTTAACCAAGGCTCATGTTTCAGAGTGCAGCATCCACTAGCCATAAGCAGCTGTTTAATTAACATGAAAGAAAATTAAAAATTTAATTTCTCGAGGGCACTGCTATGTGAGGTGAGTGGCTACCCGTGGGGTGGAGCAGAGAGGCGACATTTCCATACGCACACCAAGTTCTGTGGACAGACCTGTGAGAGCCCAGCACACTGACGGAGATGGCGCTGGACACCACAGGGAAGGGGCTGAGGGCGCGGAGTGGAGGAAGGACTGTGATGTGGAAGGAAGCTCAAGGTTCCCTGCTGAGCCCTCCTGTGTCCACAGCACACAGCACAGTCACACTCACTGGTCCTGAGGGACAGGGTGGTGTGGGGACACAAGTTGCAGAGGGGCGACCTGAGGCTCCAAGGCGACCCTGGATGACCATTGATGCCTGCAACGTGGTGACACAAAGGTGCCACTCATATCCTCCTTATATTCTTCTCACTTTATAGAAAATGCAGGGCCGGGATTTAGCTTAATGGTTCTGTCACCTGCCTTGCAAGCACAAAGTCCTGAGTTCGATCCCAGGTACAAACCAAACAAAAAAATGCAGCACTTGAAAATCATAAAATTGCATGGCATATTTCTTTGCATACAGTTGAAACATCAAAGAATTACTAAGTATCATTACTCAGAAGATAATGGTCACTTAAGTCTTGTTGTTGAAAAAGTCATCTCTTACAACTTTTACAGATTTTTTTTTTTTTTTTGGAGACAGGAAATGGCTATGTAGCCCAGGCTGGCCTTGAACTCCTGCAATCCTCCTGCCTCAGTCTCCTTAGAGCTGGGATGATAGGCACGCACCACCATGCTCAGCTTAATTTTTCCAGATTGAATCCATGAAGAGATTCGTAATGCAGACACCAGCCATGAAAACCAGCAGTGACCTTAGCTCACAGAATTATGCTAAATGTTACCCTCAGGCTTCCTATAATTCACTAGTGCCTGGCAGCAGGAAAGAAAGTCCCAAGAATTTTAAGTGGAGCGAGAAGGGAAATAAATGCTGAATTAGAAATGAGAAATCTGGGCTTCAGTTTTGTGACCCCATTTAAGCTACTTACAGTGGCAAATGAAAGATCACATTACATTTTCCCCACGCTCCTCCAAGCTCTGCTCTTCTTAGAACGTCTCCGCATTCTCTGGCACCCTTCAAAACATCTTGTAGCTGTTTCTTCAGCTTTTGTGATCCCTTTGTTCTGATTTTGGTTTAAACAGAGTTCAGTCCTTCCCGCCAGACCCCAAGAAGTTTCCTCAGTGAGTGCACATGCTTCAAATCCCAGGGATTCCAGGGCCTCGAGCCTGGTTTCTGTGTTATTTCTAGGGGTCTCTTACGTGACGTTTGCTTACATCCAATTTTAATTCAAATGGGGGGAGAAGTGTCCACTGCCCCCCATCTCTCGTGTGTCTCCTGGCCTCGCCACATAGAGACCACGAAGGATTCTTCATGATCTTTTTGTGGATGTTGGTTTTCATGTATTAATTGAAGAGTCCTGATCAAGTCAAGGTTAACGGAAATACTTTGCAGTGATAGAAATAATGGAGAGCACAATTCTGGAGCGGTGAATTGTAAACGCAGTGCAGTTAACACTAAAGTCACGGCAGTTCCCAGGGCCTGGCGTTTT